TTTTTTTTTTTTTTTTTTTTAAGTTTGTTCATCCACTTTGAGAGAGAGCGTGAGCTGGGGAGGGGCAGAGAGAGAAAGAGAGAATCCCAAGTAGGCTCCACACGGCCAGCACGGAGCCCCACGCAGGACTCGATCCCATGAACCGTGAGATCATGACCTGAGCGGAAATCAAGAGTCGGCTGCTTAATCGACTGAGCCATCCAGGCACCCCGGCTCCTTCCGCCTTGGTGACAGCTCTGTGACATAGTTGTGATTTTTGCCCTTCATGAGGCGCGGAGCGCTGAGGTAGCTCCCGGCTGCCCGGTGAGCATGGGGATCCTAGCAGACAGTCTGACTCAGGAGTCCAGCTGGAGCTCTCCGCTGTGCGGCAGTGTGTCTGAACCAGCGTAGAGAAGGGCTAGTTGCATGCTAGGCAAGTAGGCTGGTGTGACAAAGCCAGGCAGTAGTACGGGCTGGCGGGGTGGAGTGGGGAGTCAGGGGAGGTCATATTTTAATAAGCAGTAATTATGCAGCATCGTGGGAAGGGTGCTGTCTGCACTTGAGGTTCGAGCTTAAAGGGAAGTTAGAGATTTGCCCTGGGCACAAATGCAGCGAGTGAAGGAAACGTGCCAGATTCTGAGTCGGGTTCGGAAGGCCCAGGCTTAGGACCCGCCTGCCTTTGGTAAGTAGCCACCAGGCTCCGCAATCAGGAGCCATTTGGGACAAAATGCAGGTGATCATTTCCTCCTTGAGTGCAGACCCAGTTGGCTGGGGGGCCAGTTAGAGGAGATCCACTGCAAGCCAGGGCCTGAGTGGTGGCCCCACAGCCGATGCCAGCGGCGACCTCAGCCGTGGGGCCCAGGCCAGCACGGCCTCCAGGTGCTTCTTGCAATTAGGGTGACGCCTGGAGTGTCAGCCAGGAGAGCAGCCGCCTGTTCTTTTCTTTATTTTGTAAATGCTCAGTCAGTATTTCTTAGGAACCAGTGTCCTTTAATTGGGATAATACTTAGAGTAAGAAATGACCCCTGCTTTTTCTTCCCACCTCACTCCCTGCCTCCCTTAGCTGCTGGAATGTGGCGGGAATTTGTTCGATACCATCTCCATTGCTGTAAAGGCTGCTCTCTTCAATACAAGGTGAGTCTTCCTGGAAACAGCCCCGTGGGCCTGCGGAGAACCCCAGCCGACACTTGTGATGGAAGACTCAGGACACTTCTACCAAAGCTTCCAGGGGAAGGTGACAAGGGGTTTAGCATGAAAAATGGTGGCCTTTAATGGTAAGCTCCGGATTTCACAAGATAAAACTAAATATATGCATATATTTCTGTGTTTGCTTTTTATGTTACTATTTTCGTAAGTAACCATGTCCCATGTAGAAAAATGTTAGAAAACCACAGAGAAGCAAATGGAGTGAAAACCACCCAGAGGTCGACTGTCCAAATACTGTTACTGGGTACAGAACTTCGGGGGCGTGGGTTGCACCTGTTGTGCAGTCTCCTACATCCCCGCCACCACTAGCAATGCCTGACACAGAGTAGGTGCTCACATATTCCCCGATCGGACACAAGAATGTTCTAAACGCAGGGCGGCAGCCTGCATTTGGGTTTAAGAGCAGGAAGTGGTTACGCCACTGTGGTTAGGCTCCCCGGCCAGATGTGCAGCAAGGGACGAGGCACTCAGCCTTCTTGGAGTTGGCATTCCCTCTAACCGTTTGATCCTGTAGCCTTCTCCCTTTCTACGTGCCAGCTTCTTTGAGGACGGTTTGCAGCATTCAAAAATAAATGCATGGGTGGTGACGTTCATGCCACGAGAGAGCTTACATTGAGGGAGTGGAGGACCGTGGGGTTTAGAAAATGAGGGTTAGAGACTTCTAGGGTTATCGTCTAAGGGGTTAATTGGATAAGTAGGCAAGGGTGTTATTCTAGAATGTTCATCACAGCCTCTTTGTAATGGTGACAAGTTGGGAACAACCGGAGTGTCCCAACATAGGGGATCGAGATCCTGCACAGCAGCCTCTTTAGAAGTTTGTTAATACAGAAAGCCAGTCATTAAACACAGACCTCTCATCTTGTTTGTTTTGTTGATTTTTACTTTTGGTAACTCGTATATTTAATATGTCTGGATATGTCCCAGGATGGTCATTGTGATTCTTTTCTAGGGCTCCCATCATAGGCGACTTAACATTCATCTGTATTTTAGAGGTTTTCTATGGTGGATTTAGACTACCTGGGTAATTCAGAAGAAAACAAAAACAAAGTTAAGTAAATTCAGGTGAGACATTGCAGGATGGAGTACCCGCTGAGAACGAAAGCTGTGGAGCCCCCCACCCCCACCCCAAGCTGTGCCACTAGACCCCTGGCTGAGACCAGTCAGGAGGCGGGCCACGCACTTGTGGCCACCGTGGGGCCCGAGTACCAGTGGCATTTGTGTCAGCCTGTGCTCGGGCTCTATTGGAGAAGAAAGGAAGTGGCCATCTGTTGGACCTGGAGCTTTGTAAAGCACTCCCCATCTGCCAGCTGGTTTTCCACAGGCACCAGGGCAAAAAGAGAGAGTAGAACCAGACAAGGCTCGAGGCTGTCTGGCTGTGGGGGGAAGCGTTGGGCAAGCTGTGCCCCAGGATGGTAAGACCCAGCTGCTCAAGTTGGGGAGGACACCTGTCCTGGGTGTAGCCAGGAGTCTTGTCCCCAGAACAAGAATAGCCCTGCAGATAGCAAGGGATGTGGACCATGTGAGACATCAGGTTCCCTGATACATGGAAAGACCATACGTCCAGTTCGTGTCCTTTAGAAGGACAGAGGCTCTTCTGTAGCCCTTCCGCTGAACTATGTTGTGGCCAAAGTGTCAGGAAGGAGTGTGTGTGTGTGTGTGTGTGTGTGTGTTTTAACATAACTGACCCAAATTCAAATGGATTACCTGACTTGCTCAAATAGGATGTTACTTAGTACTTCCACTCTGGGTACCCTTGACACGGAGACTTTGAGCCAGGGCAGACCCTAGCAGGACTCCTTGGCTCCTGTGGACATTCCCTGGCCGCGGCTTATCTGCTGTGGATGTTGTCTTGTGTAGGGACAGCCAACAGGGCTGGAATCATCGACGGCTTTTGTTAGAGGAGCAGGGAAAAGCACCAACGCTGTTTCTATCACGGTAGCTGAATGGACCGCCTCTTCCTCCCTGGCTCCCCCACCCCAGACAGAGATGAATGGACTCTGTGGGTTAAATGTATTTTCCAGCACCCAGCTTAAGAAACAACGTGTTCAGGCCCCCAGAAGCCCTCTCACCCTCCACCCCTGTGCTGTCACTACACCCACTGAGGAGAACCGTTGTCCTGTAACAATAGAATGGTTTTGTCCTTGATATAAATGAAATCATACCGTGTGGTGTTTTTGTGTGTCTGCTTCATTCACTGAGCATGATGTTTTGAGACACTCGTATTGTGGCCCGGAGTCATAGTTTGCTCTACGCGGCCTGCTGTTCCATTGTGTGACTGTGCCATAGTTGATTTATCCATTCTGCTGTTGATGAGCATCTGGGCAGTTTCCAGTTTTTTTGGCTATTCCAAACACGAACATTTTTGTATTTTTCTTGCACGTATTTACCCATTTCTGTTGGGTATGGGTGAAAGTTTTGGATCATAAGGCATGGCTGTGTTTGGTTTTAGTAGATACACTGCAAAACAGTTTTCTAAAGTGCTTTTACTGGATGATACTCCCACCAGTGTTGTATAAGCGTCCTGGGTTGCTTCATATCTTTGCCAACTTGTGGGCCTTTTTTTTTTTTTTTT